TAAAGCATAGGGATTAATCGCAAAACCAATATGTAATTATATATGTGTTTTCCGGTGTCTTAGGCGACCCCCTGTGAAAAGGGTCATTTGACCCCCAAAAGGGGTCTCGACCCCACAGGTTGAGAATGCTGCCCCTAGTCTGATGGGAGATGTAACCTAAAATTCTCCCCCTGTATACCTAGGCAACAACCTCTACCTGGCCTCCACAAAGGAGAAACTGTTGAATCACTCAAAATCTTAGCTAACCATAAAGATTTTATTTTAAAATCAAAATGTGTTAATAATACGTCTCTAGGGTTTGAGGGGGGAGGGAAAAGGATAGCTCTCCCCCTGTTGGTCTCCATAGCTTTCTTAACTCCTTCCCTTGTTTTGAGACAGCCTGGCATGGGTTCATTAAGAGAGAGCTTTAGCCGAAACCGGTTTGGCTCAGTGGATAGAGCGTCAGCTTGCGGACTGAAAGGTCCCAGGTTCAATTCCGGTCAAGGGCATGTACCTGGGTTGCGGGCACATCCCCAGTAGGAGATGTGCAGGAGGCAGCTGATCGATGTTCCTCTCTCATCGATGTTTCTAACTCTCTATCTCTCTCCCTTCCTCTCTGTAATCGGAGATGTGCAGGAGGCAGCTGATCAATGTTCCTCTCTCATCGATGTTTCTAACTCTCTATCTCTCTCCCTTCCTCTCTGTAGAAAATCAATAAAATATATTTTTTTAAAAAAAGAGAGAGCTTTAATACATTCAAATATCATTTAATTCCTCAAAAATCATTCTTTCACTACATGGGCTACCCATGGGCATTTTGCTCCCTCACCCTGGCATTTGTGCTCTCTCCAATCCACACTCATTTACCAATCCACCAATTTCTCCTTAATCCCTGGCCTCAGTTAGCTCTCACTACTATTCCCAAATAAGGAATTCCCAGGCATTCATTTTTTGATAGCTACCTGGTGACAGTCCCTGGAGGCTGGATTATATGAAGCCCACCCCAAACTCTTTTTAAAAAATGTGTTTTTATTGATTTGAAAGAGAGAGGGAGGGAGGGAGAAGAGAAAAAGAGGAAGGGAGTGGGAGAAAGAAACATCAATATAAGGGAGAAACATTAATCAGCTGCCTCCTGCATACTCCCTACTAGGGATGGAGCCTGAAATCCAGCATGTGCCCTGACAGGCAATCCAACCAGCGACTTTTTAGTGCACGGGATGATACTCAACCAACTGAGCCACACCTGCCAGGGTCCACCCCAAACTCAAAGTACATAATGATTCTTCATTTCTTTCAGTCCCCTTAGCACAGTGGTTCTCAACCTTCCTAATGCCGCAACCCTTTAATACAGTTCATCATGTTGTGGTGACCCCCAACCATAAAATTATTTTCGTTGCTACTTCATAACTGTAATTTTGCTACTGTTATGAATTGTAATATAAATATCTGATATGCAGGATGTATTTTCATTGTTACAAATTGAACATAATTAAAGCATAGTGGTTACTCACAAAAACAATATGTAATTATATATGTGTTTTCCAGTGGTCTTAGGCGACCCCTGTGAAAGGGTCATTCGACCCCCAAAGGGGTCGAGACCCACAGGTTGAGAACCGCTGCCTTAGCATGTATTTTTCACTCTCTTCTTTTAACACCTCATTATTTATTGGCATGCATTCAGCTATGCCACAAAAAACAGTCTTGTTTCCCCATCCCTGCCTTACTCTCTTGCTCTCCTTCCATTCTTGAATTCATCTTTAAGCTGACTTAAGCCAGTTGACATGGTGGGCTTAACATGGAAGCCACTGTGTTCTATAGTCTGCTTCAATTTCCATCATGGTGCTGGTTAACACAATGGATAACCACAAATTCTGGAAAAATGTGAGTCTCATTTGCTACTGTCCCTATAATGGGCATCTTATCTTTACCAGGCTAATGACAGCCCCCCTCCCTGAGCCTAGGAACAGTTTGCGTGGAACAGGATTACTCAGAGAAAATCATAGGCTTCCCTAGACCTCAGCCTAGAAAGAAGGTGAGTTCAGACACCTGAGGAAGTTTAGTATAGCTGGTG